ACTTTGACAGAGTATTCTTACTTTATTGTAACAGGTGAGGTATCCAGTTTTGCTTACACCTGCTGAGAAGCAAATGGCGAGGGAAGTTTGCATTGCATTTAGGCAAGCGGTATGTTGTGATTCCAGTTACCTGGCTGTCACTGTGTCTTGCAGATATAGTGCATCAACAAAAGCATTTCATGTTTGCAGGTCTGCGGATTTGATCTCTTACGATCTGAGGGAAGTTCATATGTGTGTGACGTAAATGGATGGAGTTTTGTGAAGAACTCTTACAAGTGAGTTACTAGTCTGGACTTTTATATCGCAGAGAAAATCACAAATAGTATATATGTTGCCGCTGGCTTAGCTTTATAGAAATTGTGTTCATTGAGTAAATTTCAGTTCAAGAGCTTTTTTCAGCAGAATTTTTTGAACTTTTATTCAGAAATGTCACCAGATCTCTTTCACTTTTAGGTATTACGACGATGCTGCTTGTGTGCTACGGAAAATGTTTTTGGATGCAAAGGCTCCTCATCTTTCTTCAACAATTCCTCCCATTCTGCCATGGAAGGTCAATGAACCTGTTCATTTTAACGAAGGTCTAACTCGCCAAGGAAGTGGCGTCATTGGAACATTTGGGCAATCGGAGGAGCTACGCTGTGTCATTGCTGTTGTTCGGCAGTATGTTTTAGCAAATGATCACCTGTCCTCTCTAAACTTCTCTATGTTTACTCAGGCTCTGAGTTGTGTTTAACTTCCCTTGACAGCGGTGATAGAACCCCTAAGCAGAAAGTGAAGCTAAAGGTTACAGAGGAAAAACTGCTAAACCTGATGCTGAAGTACAATGGAGGAAAGCCAAGAGCTGAGGTGAGAGGCTCAGGCTTTTCTATTTTCATCTTCGTCCTGCTGCCTACAATGATATTCTTATGCTGTGCAATTTTTTCGTTATTTGCAGACGAAACTTAAAAGTGCTGTCCAACTGCAAGATCTATTGGATGCCACAAGAATGTTAATTCCTCGTTCAAGGTAGCCTTCTGATTGTTCCCGTTGATTTTTTTTCTGTTTTGACTAATATGCTTGCAATACGAAATCTGGTAACTACCTTATTGTATTTCTGTTTGATGTTTAGACCAGGTGAATGTGATAGTGATGCAGAAGACCTTGAACATGCTGACAAGCTTCGTCAAGTAAAAGCCGTTCTTGAAGAGGTTGTGTACCTTGATAATCTAATATACTTTCCTTTTCTCTGAGCTGTATCCGTTATGAGTCTCATGTCGTTCTATTGAATGTAGTCCTTGTAATGAATAGCAGAGTAGCAGCTGTATCTTTGACTGAATTTTCACAAACTCATTCTCATTTTATATATGTGTAAACCGTGCAGGGTGGACATTTCTCTGGCATATACAGGAAGGTTCAACTAAAGCCGCTGAAATGGGTTAAAGTACCAAAAAGTGATGGTGATGGGGAAGAAGAACGCCCAGTGGAGGCTCTTATGGTTCTGAAATATGGTGGTGTTCTAACTCATGCTGGTCGGAAGCAGGTAACACTGTCATTTGGTATCAGAAGGTGATGATAAATATGCATTGCAAACTTAAAGTAATGGTATTGCTAATGGAGGGGGTTGATGTTTGCTTGATTTTTTTCCACAGGCAGAAGAACTTGGTAGATACTTTCGAAACAATATGTATCCAGGTGACCACCCTTGATCAATTCGTGTTCTACTTTCCATGTCTCATACTATTTTCTAAAACAGTCCATTCGTTTGTGTTGATCAAATCATGTTACATATTTGAGTGGCTTATAACAAAACTGGATATGCTTACAGGTGAAGGTACCGGTTTGCTCCGTCTCCATAGTACATACCGTCATGACCTTAAAATTTACAGTTCTGACGAGGGACGTGTTCAGGTACAACTTTATACCGATTTAGAAATAACCATAGAGGCATAGAGCATTCAAATATAAACTTGGAATCTTCTGTATATTCTTCAACGGTTGCCTTCCAGATCAAAATATGAATAGTTGACTCTGCTTGCAGATGTCTGCAGCTGCTTTTGCTAAAGGCCTGCTTGACCTAGAAGGACAGCTGACCCCAATCCTGGTTTGTCGTTTTCTTTTGCCCATGTTGTATAGTGCTTCCCAATGTCAAAATCATTAAATTTCTTATCTTCTTTCTCTAGGTTTCTCTGGTTAGCAAGGACTCTTCCATGTTGGATGGTCTTGATAATGCGAGCAGTGAAATGGAAGAGGCCAAGGTTTGTCCCTCTCTTTATTGACAACTTCATTTTTTCACGTATTGTACTAGAATTTCATCTGCGAAACAATCATGTGTAAGTATTTACAGCTTTATATTCCTTTCCCAACTTGCCTGCAGGCTCAATTGAATGAGCTCATAACCGCCGGCACAAAACTGGTCAATGATTACGTCTCTTCTGAATTACCTTGGATGACTGATGGTGCTGGACTACCTCCTCATGCCAATGAGCACCTACCTGAATTGGTACTCGCAGATTTTCTGTAAAACTTAGTCTCTCTCTCTCATATCTGAATTATCATGCTACAAGACATCATCATTATCGGTTGCATTTTATAGTTTTTTTTCTTCCTTTTTTTCCTAGTAGTCTCTGAAAAAAGGATATGCCAAGTGTTTCGACTATAGAGAAACAAGTATATACTCAACTTTACTTAGCTGTTATATGTTCTAAACTGATAGGTAAAATTAGCTAAAAAGGTGACTGAACAAGTGGGGCTACTTGCAAAAGATGAAGACGAGGGTCTCACAGAGCCTAGCGCTTATGATGTAGCCCCTCCTTATGATCAAGCAAAGGCCCTTGGCAAGTCAAACATTGACGTTGGTCGGATTGCTGCTGGATTACCTTGTGGTAGTGAAGGATTTCTTTTGATGCTTGCTCGATGGAGAAAACTCGAAAGGGATCTCTACAACGAAAGAAGAGAGTAAGTTCTATGGCCAAAATGGGTTTTTACCAAATCTTCTCAAGTTATCTTCCTGATTTTCTGCATGAGGTTCTATGAGTGGCACTGATAGTTGGAATTAAAAATGCAGCCGGTTTGACATAACGCAGATTCCTGATGTTTACGATTCATGCAAGTAAGCTATGTGTTTCAGTCCGTTATGTTATCCATCTTAGCTTTTAAATTGTTCCATTCTCAACATCCTGCAATGTGTTGTCATTACCAGGTATGATCTGTTACATAATTCTCATCTCGACCTGAAAGGACTAGACGAACTCTTCAAAGTTGCTCAGGTATGAGCTAAATATATAAAAAAACTGAAGTTTTTCTTCAACTTATCTAAAATTTATGGTATTTCTCAATGTACCATCCTCCAGTTGTCTTGATGAGACAATTTTACTTTACTACTAGCCATGCGTCCTAGTTTTCCAGATTCAAACAGCTGTACCTACATCTCTGTTTTGCAATACAATCTGGAGTGTGTTGGTTAAGGCCAATTATGTGCTATGTGGTTGCAGCTGCTTGCAGATGGTGTAATCCCAAATGAGTATGGGATCAATCCTCAGCAAAAACTCAAAATCGGTTCAAAGGTTGGTTCCGATCTTGGAATTTTTCCGACTCCATGGTTCTCTCAGATGATCTCACAGCTAACCAAATTGTTTTTTTTTGTGTGTGTGTGGCTGTCTTCTAAATTAAGATTGCTCGGCGCTTGCTTGGTAAAATCTTGATTGACTTGAGGAATACCAGAGAAGAGGCCATGAGTGTTGCTGAATTGAAGAACAACCAAGACCAAGTCTCAGTGTCATTGTATTCGTCGAGAAAGGAGGATCGATATAGTCAGCCAAAACTTTTCGTTAAAAGCGATGAGTTGAGACGTCCTAGCACCGGAGAGAACAAAGACGAAGATGATGATAAAGAAACCAAATACCGACTAGATCCAAAGTAAGCGAAAACTCTCTCTTATAAGTAGCATCATTAATTCTGATTAATGTTCTTAGTTTCATTTACTCTTGTTCCTTTTAGGTACGCAAATGTAATGACACCTGAACGTCATGTGAGGACACGCCTTTATTTCACTTCTGTGAGTTCCTTCTTCCATTTTTTTCCTCTCTCTTTCTAACAGATTCATGATCTCCTGCTACATGCCAAGCATCTGATACATTTATACATGACTCTCTGCAATGAAACTCGTTGGACAGGAATCACATATTCATTCTCTGGTGAACGTTCTACGGTATTGTAACCTCGACGAATCTCTTCAAGGAGAAGAAAGTCTCGTTTGCCAAAGCGCATTGGAACGCCTTTGTAAAACCAAAGAACTTGATTACATGAGCTACATTGTCCTAAGACTCTTTGAGAACACTGAGGTTTAAAACTCACCCAGCCTTTTCTCTGTCTCACTCATGCTTTCAAGTCGTCAAACGTTTAATTTGTTTCCTGCAGGTATCTCTGGAAGACCCGAAACGCTTCAGAATCGAACTTACATTTAGCCGTGGCGCAGATTTGTCTCCCCTAGAGGTAAAAGCAAAAGACTAGACAGACACAATATCTATTCTCTTTTGAGTTTTAAACTAGAAACAGAATCCTAGAATTGTCCCGTACACAAAAGGATGGTGTTTTTTAATTAAGTATATTTTGTGTCACAACAGAAGAAGGATGAAGAAGCTGAGTCGTTGCTCAGGGAACACACACTTCCGATAATGGGACCAGAGAGGCTTCAGGAGGTTGGTTCTTGTTTGACACTCGAGACAATGGAGAAGATGATACGTCCATTTGCTATGCCGGCAGAGGATTTCCCTCCAGCGTCAATTCCGGCAGGCTTCTCCGGTTACTTTTCCAAAAGCGCCGCCGTGCTCGAGCGCCTTGTGAAACTTTGGCCCTTCCACAAGACCACCACTTCTAACGGCAAAAGCTAAAAGCCAAACAAAGTGGGTGAGACATTCTTAATCCATGTCCTTTTTGGACAAAAATTTTGGAATATTTTCTAATTGAGTAAACTAGAATTTTAATTCGTTTATCAGATATCACAATCATGTTAATTGCTTTGTTTCTAAAACAATTCTTTTTTTGTTGGCTTAGCAGCATTATTGGAAAATTTCAAACTTTTACTAGTCGTTGCCTTTATGTATGTATATATTCCTAGAACAAAAATGATATCAATTGGATCACAAATACCGAAAAAGAAAAAAGATATAAAATGAAATGGAATTTGGTTCTCGTACCTTTTATTTCCCCCAAAGAATAATAATAAGCGTCGATAATTGGTTCCAACCAGACAAAAATAAAACACACCCAACACAAATCCAGGAGATTTGTAAGTTGTATAACCAAGGAGAAAAGATTAACAATTATGAAATCACTAATTAACAACAGTAAAATCGGTGATTAAACTATATATTAATTTTGCAATTTTTTCCCTTAATGTAGGTACGAAATACTGTTTAGTTACTGTTGAAGCACATGTGAAAAAATCTCACTTTTCTTGCTCATAATTCCTCTTTGCCCGTTCCTCTCTCTCTACCTAGTCTACTCCTCTGCACATCTTCTCTCTCTCTCATCTCTCATCTTCGCAGACATCAATTCCTCTTTTTGACTAAAATTCCGCGACTTGGGCTTTGATCCATTCCCAGTGAATCTCACTCCTTTATCACAAAATCACTCCCTTTACCCTCGAATTTTCGTTCTCTAATTCGCCTGGATTTTTAATTGGGGTTTTTTTTCTTACATGAGCTAGATGGTGGTCTGAGCAAAAACTCATCCGTGTCTGTTTTTAGTCTTTGTCTGTGTTTGGTGAGATGGGTTTGGACGATACCGATGCTGTTAAAGCTAAAGGAAATTGTCAATCGGAGAAGAAATCTAGCGAGAGTGAGAAGAATATGAAGACGAGGAATAAGAAGAAAAACAATGGTGATATCAGTAAAGGTGAAGAATTGAGAAAAGCAGTCGAAGAAGAAGAAGAAGAAGAAGAAAGAGAAGCAAATGGGTGTTGGGTCAAATTCAGGTTTATGATTGGTTGCATACCTTCAAAATCAGATGTTGATGCTTCTTCTTCTTCTCTCTATGCCACTACCAGCACCGGTACATATAAATTCTCTGTTTTTTTAGGTTTCTTAAAGAAAAGGCCTTTCCTTTGAAATCGAAAAAAATTGAAAATCTTGTTGTGGGTTTTGTTTCCATAATTGTCTTCCTAACTGTAATACATGTTTCCCATCTAGGGTTCTTTATTTGACAATTTGTGCAAATATTCACGTGATGCTTGTGATCTACCCTTTTTTAAGGTTCTTTGTTACCAATTTCAGGGACAGAGATTTAAGGTTTCCATTTGAGAATTTATTGAACTGAACTTAAACTTGATTGTTTCTGACTTTTTTTCACCTAAATCTGAGTTATTTGGGATTTTTTTTGTTTCCTTTAGCTACAACAATGGAAAGTAAATCAGCAAATGAGAAATCAAATGATCATCAACCAGTTGGTCCAGTTTCTTCGACAACAACAACAAGCAACGCAGAGAGCTCTTCATCAACTCCAATGATAAGCGAAGAGCTCAAGCTTTACTCTAACCTGAGGAAGTTTACTTTCAATGATCTTAAGCTAGCAACTAGGAATTTCAGACCTGAGAGTCTTCTCGGAGAAGGAGGTTTTGGTTGTGTCTTTAAAGGATGGATCGAAGAAAACGGAACTGCTCCTGTTAAACCTGGTACTGGACTTACAGTAGCAGTCAAAACCTTAAATCCTGATGGACTTCAAGGTCACAAAGAATGGCTTGTAAGCAACTTCCTCTTCTGTTTTATCGCCTCAATCCATCTTATTAAGTGTCTGTTCTAATTTGGTCCTGCTTGTTGACATTTGCAGGCTGAGATTAATTTCCTTGGTAACCTTCTCCATCCAAATCTAGTCAAGCTCGTCGGTTACTGCATCGAAGATGATCAAAGGCTGCTTGTTTACGAGTTTATGCCTCGAGGAAGCTTGGAGAATCACCTTTTCAGAAGTATGTAAAACCCACAACCACTTTACAGTTTTTCAAAAGTTTAATCTTTTTTCTTTGCATAACCGTGCTTTCATGTTTTTAAAGGGTCGTTGCCTCTTCCTTGGTCTATCCGGATGAAGATTGCATTAGGTGCTGCTAAAGGTCTCAGCTTCCTCCATGAAGAAGCCTTGAAGCCTGTTATCTATAGAGATTTCAAAACGTCCAACATTTTACTTGATGCTGTATGTATCTTTACTCCTTACCATCAACATCTTGTATTTGCCTTTTGCCTCTAACAGTTTTAGTATATAATCCAAATTTTTCAGGACTACAATGCAAAGCTATCAGATTTCGGACTGGCCAAAGATGCTCCTGATGAAGGCAAAACCCATGTTTCTACTCGAGTTATGGGCACATATGGTTACGCAGCTCCTGAGTATGTAATGACTGGTGAGTCCTCTTTGGTTTCATCACATTTTCTTCTGTTTAATGTTTACATCTTTGTTGATTTTGCTTCCCACTGAACTCCTTGAAGGTCACTTGACATCAAAGAGCGATGTCTATAGCTTCGGTGTGGTTCTGCTCGAAATGCTGACCGGACGAAGATCAATGGACAAAAACCGGCCAAACGGTGAGCACAACTTAGTGGAATGGGCAAGACCGCATCTCCTTGACAAGAGAAGGTTTTACCGGTTACTTGATCCGAGGCTTGAGGGTCATTTCTCAATCAAGGGTGCTCAAAAGGTGACTCAGCTAGCTGCACAATGTCTTAGCCGTGACCCCAAGATTAGGCCAAAAATGAGTGATGTCGTCGAAGCGCTTAAGCCACTTCCTCACCTCAAAGACATGGCAAGCTCTTCTTACTACTTTCAGACAATGCAAGCCGAGCGTTTGAAGAATGGGTCAAGTCGATCTCAGGGAGGAGGAGGAAGCGGGTTTGGTTCAAGAAACGGGCAGCCACAACCTGTGTTGCGGACACTGTCTAGTCCTCATGGTCAACATGGTTCTTCGCCTTATCGACATCAGATTCCTTCTCCGAAGCCTAAAGGAGCAACTACATAGCTTATGCGTGGACAAAGCCTAAAAAGACTGAAGCTTTTATCGTTTTTTTAAGCGGCAAGGAGATATTTTTAACCGGTGTTATGGTAACTCTTTAATCGATCGATGTAAAAACGGTGAATCCCAGTGGGTTTTCTATGGAAATCTGATTTTGTTTTTACAGATCAAATTCTCTGCGACTCGACCTTTCCATTGCTGAAAGCTTCTTCCTTTGACATATGGTATATATGAAAAAAGAGAAGAGATTGATCTTGACATTACATACATGTTCGTGTGTTCGTCTTGTTAGAGGTGTAAATTTCCAAAGGTGTATGCTTGTAAATTCTCACTGACTAATTAATTTTCAACGACAAACATAAATGAAAAGTCGCTGACAAAATTATTTTCAAAATATGGAAGCACATGTGGCTCGAATTAAAAAAAAAGGAAGAATAGTTCTTAATAGATTCGAATATTGAAGTGAACTTGGTCCCTATACATAGTAACTCTCTCTCTCTCTACACCTTCTTCTTCTTTTATTAATCAATCCACTATATCAATATATAGTGGTACATATTCAGTTTATTTATATCAATAACAACCTTAAAAAAAAAAAATATTATTGTAATGACCCAAACAGGGTGCTGGTATACATAAGACTGTACCGAAGATAAATTGAACGGAACCCGAAATTGAAATAAATAACATACTTTTGAGCATATCTCCATTCAAAGCTCATGCTGCTTCCTAATTTCCTTGAAAATCTGCCCTTTCTTGAAGAATCTTCTTTCCCATGTACCTACACATTCCAAGAATATATTTTAGTAAATATTTAGCATGTTAATTATAATAAATCATTTGATCATTTCATTTTTTGCGGTTACGTACCTTCCAAGCATCATGACGGTAGCTTGAGGATTAGTTCCAGGAGACTTAAGAAACGTGGATCCATCGATAACCCTCAAAGAATCAATACCTAAGACTTTGTAGTCCTTGTCGACCACTCGTCCAACTTGACAACCTCCATGGTAATGCCAAATCGTCATCACAGTGTCGATGCAAAACTGCTTTAAGCTAAACCTCGACATTGCATGTCTTGGTCTCAGATTAGTGGGAAGGCCCACCATGAAACCAAACAGCTCACGTGCGGTCACACCTGGGAACTTGTACTTGCTGAAGGCCTTTGAGTTTATCACTTTAATAACGGTTTCAAGTCCTTCAACACACTTGTTCAAATCCTCTGTTTCTTGGTAATAGTTGAATGTCACGTAAGGGTTATCGTTAGGGTTTGTGTTCCGTAGCTCCATGTGACCTCTTGAGGCCGGACGTGCGACTTTTTGGAAAATTAAACCCGCATTTAACCTCACGTTGATTCCACGATCCATGGATTTCAAAAGGTTATCGATGGATTGGGTCGTGAATGTTGTTGATGTAGTACCACTTGTCTGCGAAACGGTTTATTAATTATTAGTCTCATAACGCTTCATGAGAAAAATAATAATAACGTATAGTAGTCTCGTTGATCACAAAAAAAAAAAAAAAAAAAAAAAAAAAAAAAAACGTATAGTAGTCTCATATGTATATTTTTTTTTGGTATAATGTTACTATTGTATCTTTATATTATTAATTGAGAAGTACATTCTAATGTTTGGATACAAGAATTAGAGAAACATCTATTTGGATAGAAGAATAAATGGAAACAAAAGTTGTTTGGATATAAGAATAAGAGAAAAATCTATTTGGATAGAAGAATAAATGGAAAAAATTGTTTGGATACAAGAATAATAACTTAAAATAAACCGATGGTTTAGAAAACTTCCGTTTTCCATCTCTTAAAAATCTGCAAAAAAAAAACTTAACATAATCTAACGATAATTCCAAATCAATAGAATATGCTTTTTGGATTTTCGG